CCTGTGGGTCGGGGAGGGGTCTGTGGGTCAGGGGGGAGGGGTCTGTGGGTCAGGGAGGGGTCAAGTTTGGATTTTATAAATCACAACCTTAGCATAAAAAGTGGCGTACGCAAGTTTCTGGGCTCAWATTGTGCGTACGCCAGTTTTATAAATCCGACCCCTGGAAAGTGATTATAAAAATGCTGGCTCAATGTATCTGTTAAAGAAAATGATAAAAGGTAGTTTGTTAAAGAAATATAAAACTGTATAATGTGAATTCATAAGAACTGGTGTTCATGGAGTAGTTAATGTTTTTTTGTTACTTGAACATTATTGCTTGAAATTATTTTTTGGAAAATTTAAGATTTTTTTTCTTTCTGCTGCCAATGTTGGTATGAAAGGCAGAGGTTGATGCTGGGCCTTCATGGATTTAAAGATATTTTCCTGATAAAAGAAATATGTTCTGCTGAGCCTTCTCTGGAAAGTCACATCTGTTCATCATAAACCTATAACTTCACCAGAACCACAGCAAAGTCACATACAGTAGAATTTTAAATTATTTATTTGTGATGTCATCATCATGCAAAACTGATAAAAAATAAAAACATTTTAAAAATGAAGCACTTGCTAAGTGAAACAAAAGCAGATGTGTGTGATTTACACTTTGCTTTCTAAATCCAATAAGAGCTTTCACTTTAGAGCTTCTCMGGACCAACTGGAAATGAGAAATGTAATAAATACAGGTGAATGTAAAAGAAAACTGTCGGCAGTGAGACTTCACATACAGCACAATAAGAGTGAATGAATGAAGCTGAAACAGTTAGTTTGTGTAATTACAGGCAATATGGTGGATTAGTTGTGCACAGATTTACAAAAATAAGTTTTTTACATTAATAGTTGTCTATTGATTCTATTTTCTCTCTAGTTTAAAATACAAAAACATTTTTAATGTTACCTGATAAGAGGGAAAACAAACTTTAATTACATCCAAGATGCATTTTTTTAATAAGGAAAAACAAGTTTACCATTTCTATCAGACTTCTGTTCACCCAAACAGCAGAAAGAAAACTGTACAAGTTTTAACGCACAACAGGCAAATCATGAACAAGAAAATAAAATATGGGCAATCCATCTACCATAGTTGTAAGGATGCAACAAATTTATCCTTAAATTGATTTATGTAAATGCTTTTATTACAAATGCTCAACACTATCCCACTACAAGTCCACTTCAACATCACAGGATGACTGGTAACTTTACATCCTCAGCTCAGATTCACCACGTGTTGTGCCTTATTCTGTCTTTATATAGAGCAATAATTTGAAGGCAAGACGCATCAAACAGAAATCCAAGGTGTTGACGAGGATCTGAAGGTGTTTCCGCCTCGATGGTTCTGGTTCTGATGGAGGAACGGCTTTGCTTTCTGTCTCAGGCATCAGTCTTACGCTGGCAGGAGAGGCGAGAAAGGAAAGCAGTAGAGGGTGTGGGGCGTCCTCTGCAGGTCCCCGCTCTGACGCTGCTGGAGCTCCCCTCCCCAGCACTTAAGCTGGCAGGCTCAGCTTCTTTCCTTTCAGAACTGAAACCACACAGAGCAGATTTATTCATTATCACAGCATGACAAGCTGATGAAACACAAGAAGCTTTTAGGATTTTTTTCTTCATAAACAGCCAATTTCTAAAAATGTTGAGATGTGGGATAAAATTTAAGTAAAAACAGAATGCAATGATTTTCAAATCTCAAACAACTATATGCTTCCATTACAACATCATGGCTTTGTACCGTCTTGCTGAAATGTGCAAGGGCTTCCCTGAAAAAGAATGTTTGTGTTGACAGAAGTACAGGCCCGGACAGACCGTCGGGAGAACCGGGAGTTTTCCCAGTGGACTGCTCAGCTGGCTAACAGCTCCGGTGACACTTGGATATTTGGGTGCAGTCAGTGCACCTCGGCTCACTCTGCTTCAGAAGAGCGAGAAGGGGTCTCYGCAGTCACTAGGTAGGAGTTTCTTATTTTGTAGGAGGGGTTGACCCAAGATGCAATTGGTCRGATTGACGTTGCGGTTTGAAGAAGCTGGAAGCAGCGAGGAGTGGTTTGGACTTTCAAGGTTTACCTATCTAAAGATGATTGGCTGGAGCACAGCTTGGACTGCAAGTCAGTAGCTGTGTTTCCATTACAAATGTGCGCAAAACTTTGTCAATATTCTGTTAATGTCGAAAAACACAGTTTCGCAACTGCGGTGTTTCCATTAAGTAAGAAATGCTATTAAAGTCACGCGTGAATACGTTTGTTCTAGCGATAAGTCATTTCAAACATGGCGGCAATGGATGTAAACACACGCTATTGTTTGCTTGACCTGCTGGTCTTTAAGATTGTCTTGACTTTGTGTCATAAGCTAAAACTTTGGTGGTCAAGAAAAACTTCTGTTAGACTTGATTTCAGTGGTTTGAGTCATTAGTTTTAGCTCTTAAGTTTTGTTATTGGAGATTTTAAAAGTTTTTTTTTTTTACATTTTTATTTGTTATTTTTCTCCTTAGACTTCACTTATTCTACTTACTTTCTGTACAACAGAGTTTAGATGTATTTCAGTTCATATTCACTTTGTTGAATTTTATTTTTAGTACTTTGCACTTTAACTGTAAAACTAAAAATTGTATCTTACGTTTTTTTACTATATATTGGGTCTTGTCATTGATGTTGCGTCCACCATGAGCCTGGACGTAACAGCCCTCTGCTGACTGGAAACAGTCAACACCATGTCTTGGGTCTTATTGATGTTCAGCTTTAGGCAAGAGCTGTCACACTAATCCACAAACCCTTGAAAAGCTGATCCAAGATGCAGTGACGGGCCTGACAGCAGAGACTAGAGCACAGTGTCATCAGTGTATTTCACAGAGTAAGAATTGGGCTGTACAGATCTACAGTGGTAGAGGATGAAGAACAGCAGAGAGAGCACATAGCCCTGTGGAGAACCAGAGGAGGTGTGTAATAATTAAGAGAAAGGAGCAGATCAGCACTCTGTGATCTGTGGGTTAAAAAGTCAAGTRACCACAGGATGAGCTGGTCATCTAGTTGAAAGCGGGATCAGAGTTTGTTGGCAAAAATGTGAGGATGAAGGGATGTGGAGGAGAAATCCACAAACAATAGTCTGGCGGATGATTTAGGTAGTTTAAGATATCGGTGTACAGTAGAGCTGGGTAGAAAAAAAAGATTTAATCGATCTTGGATTTCATTTAAATTTGGGGATATCGGTTCATAGAGCGTGAGATTGATTTTCCCACGACCCTAACCTCAGTAGTCTTGTGTGTGATAAAGCAGAGGTGCTGTGTCACTCCTGGCTTACCGTATGTTTACATTCGATTGCCGTTCAGTGCAGACAGCTATTTCACAAAACTAGGATAGGGGATTAAGCCAGGATTTTAAGTCTTGATTAGGTTTCACAGAAGCAGTGGTGCATAAGTTACCATGTCAATTTATTCTGTGCATCTAACCTGCTCCAGACCAGACTAACAGCCAGGCTTAGTCAAGTCTTATCTGTTCAGTCAGTGGTCACACACATCAGAAACCAATGTGTTTTTTGGACTTTTTTTAATCAGTTTGCATTAAAATACAACTGATTCATTTTGACATTCAGTCAATAGACTATCACATGCATTGAGGGGATTTGAGAAATGACTGATAAAGAAACAAAGGTGTTGTCAATGAAGTCAAGCTTTATAAGTAGCTCCAAACACGTGTCGTCCTTTACAATGGCGTGCACATTTTTGAATGATTGGTGATGATGAAGCACTTATATTGAGAAGAGTTTTCAGACAGGACAGAGTGTTTCAGGACAGGTCAGACCCGTTGGTTTTTCCTAACAATTACCTTAATGAGCAGAAGCAGCTGGATGAAGTCAGAGACATATTGTGTGACCAAATGCAGCCAAACTAATTGGTCAGAGTTTCATTATACAAATGGACAATGACCCAAAACATAAAGCCAAAGCAACCCAGGAGTTTATTAAAGTTGGTGATTATTCTTGAATGGCCAAGTCAGTCACCTGATCTCAGCTGAACATTTCACTTGTTAACCCCTTAATCCTCAATGTACTGCCCGCTGTACATTCCCAGCTTGTGGTTACTTCCTGCCTCTTTACAGCCTGACCCACCCACGCTACCAGGGACTTTGAATTTGCATAAAAATCTCTTCAAACAATTTGATTGGTTGTCTTACTTTGACACCTCATTTGACCAGCTGGGTTCATCTATAGACTATCCAGAGCACAAAAAGTGTGGCAAGTCCCTCATGTCCCACCTGTACATGGTACAGTGTTTGACTAGAACCAGCCAATCAGCTCTGAACTTCATTTTGACACTGTCATGGACTAATTAAATCTGTGTCACCTTGACACCATGTCCACTGCTCCTATCGTAGGATAACTCATGTTATTTCTTAATCTGTTTGTTCCAGATGTCAGGACTCCAGCATCGTGCTGACCTCTCTCTTTGTGCAGATATGTTGACTCTTTGAGCTGAGAGCTGTCATTGGCTGATAGTAACATGAGGCGGATTGTGACTGGCTGTACATTGTCACATGGTGTTAACTGAGGATATATCATTGGTTTGCCATCTGATGACGGTGGCCACATTCAACAGACTTTCTCATTGTTTTCTGTTCATTGTCTGCCCAGAAATAAATAATTCTGGACCATACACGCAAGACTTTTTCCTGGCATTATTTCAACGTGTTTCTGCCTTTCATCGTCACGACAGACACCAAAGTTGTGTAGTAAATCGAGTTCTTTTATTTGATCTGCAGCTTTAGAAATGAAAATAATAAGTGTAGTTTAACTTCAATAACTAAATACTTGTTATAGTAGTATAACCAGTATTTATTATTACCGTATTTATTTGTGTATAATACAATCTCATGTAAAATACGACCCCCACCTTTTTGTGCTTAAAATGCATAAAAAATTCAATCCTCAAACTACCTCCAATTTCATACAGATGAAGATTTTTCAGCCTTTGCAGTCTTTATACATATCAGTAAAATGATCATTGGACTGTTCATTTTATTTTAACAACATATGTACTAAAAGGTATTTTGACAACAAATATATATCAGCTGTAGCAGCATCATATGAATTCTGACATTTTACACATAGTCCACCAGGAGGCGCCAACACAAAAGTCAGAGACTTCACATGAGATTTGGACCATCTTGTGGGGGAAAAGCAGATTACTTCCTACTCGTGAGCGCCCCCTCTGGTGGGGAAACGTTTTTCAGGGATACAAACTTTTTCAGAACACCGGTAGAYRGCAGCCATTACAGACGAACATGTGTTTGTTGTTGTTYSAGGAGCAGCTCGGTCACACATTAATGACATTAGTTTGTTATCATTACTAAGGTGCAGGACTACTTTTTCCCCTTTTTTTCACATCATGTCTCCTGCCTGGATCTGTTATCATCTCACTCTGAAGCACGGAGGAGTGTCAGAGGTGAGCTCGTTTCAACTGATTTTTACGACGCGGTCTCATTTCTGGACTCAATAATTTTGTGAGTGAAGCCAATATTTCAGTTAAAATACATAAGTAAAAATATTTATCCGAGTATAGTACTACCCCCCAACTTTATGGATGATTTTATGGATTAAATTTTATGTGTTATACTTGAAAAAATACGGTAAGTATAATACTAGGCATGTGAATTTACGCCAAAGGGTTCAAGAGCAATATTTAATTTAATTTGGGTTAGGCCTGTAGGTTAAAAGGTTAAAGACTAAACTTCAGACAGAAAGGCCCACTAACAAACCTGTGCAGTGAAGGCCTGGCAGAGCATTAAAAAGGAGGAAACACAGCGTCTGGTGATGTCCATGAGTTCAACACTTCAGGCAGTCATTGGAAACAAAGGCTTTTCAACCAAGTACTAGAAATGAACATTTAATTTACAATTATTTAATCTGTCCAATTACTTTACTCTGAAATGAAGGGATTGTGTTGAAGAGATGCTTTAGTTCCTCATATTTTTATGAATCATTTTGTTCAACCCACTGAATTAAAGCTGAGAGTCTGAACTTCAACTGCATCTGAATTGTTTGGTTTAAAATTCATTGTTTTAATGTCTAGAACCAAAATTAGAAAAATGTTGCCTCTGTCCATATGGACCTAACTGTAGATAGGTTATTGTTTTGTTCAAAATTCATTGTGATAATGTACAGAACCAAAATTAGGAAAATAGTAGGGGTGCATGCAACAATACATGTACCCGTATTGAACAGTGCTTTAAGTTCAACACACACTTGTATGGAACAATACAGATTTATAAAATTTATTTTATCATCTTGTCTTCTGAAGATGCTCTGTGTTGAAGGATCAGTGGATCTGTGTTCGACTACTCCACCTAGGCTG